GCTGTGGTGTAGTGGTTAGGTATGCTGGGATGAAGGCTGGACTAGATGGTCTTCAGAGGGCCCTTCCAACCCCTGACATTCTGTGATTCTGTGATTCCAACCAAAGAGATTGTGGGATTCTGTTGATTTTTTTTTATTTCTTCCCATGCAAAGATTTATCTCACAGAATGGTAGGGGTTGGAAGGGACCTCCGAAGAGCATCTACTGCAACCACCCCCTGCCAGAGCAGGATCACCCAGAGTAGATCTCACAGGAACGCATCCCGGCAGATTTTGAAAGTCTCCAGAGAAGGAGACTCCACAACCTCTCTGGGCACCCTGTGCCAGCATATTTCCTCATGTTTAAAGAAGTATTTCTTCACGTTTAGGATGAACCTCCTGTTCTCCAGTGTGTGACCATTGCCCCTTGTCCTGTCACTGGACACATCTGGCTCCATCCTCCTGTGTCTGTGCTCTGCGTAGTTCCAAAGCCCCTCGCGTAGCTGCAGTCGGCAGGATTGCCTGGTGACACGCTGTTAGTATTTAACACGCACATAACCGTACGCTAATTGATCGCCTTCGCTTTTCATAATTCTAATGAGTAATAAAACTTACTCCTTGTTTCTATGTACAAGAATTACAGAGAGCCTCGAGAATTTGTAACCACTCCAGAGCAGGGCATTGAGTAACTGGAAGCTGCGTGCAGTCTAGTAGTAGCAAATACCCTCTTTTATGTTTGGGGTTTTGTTTTGTTTTTTAATTTGAGGACGTGCCTTAACATAAAAACAACACACAGAACTTCACGGGTGGAAGAGTAAAACCCCGAATAGCTGGGTAGCTGAGGTACGCGAGCTGTTCTTGCCATCTCGAGCATCAGCGTGTGGCTGCTGCTGTCAGAGACTGGCGACCAGGCGAGGAGGACGTGTGGCCTGATCTGTACATGTTCGAGCTCTCACGACAGCAGATGGAGCATCAGAATCATTGTGTTCTCTGCCCTGTTCTGTGGCTCTCATGCTGTGGGTCTTGAGACTTCTCCAGTGAGTATCTCTCCTTAGAATAACTTGCCTGCCTTTGGCTTAAGACAACAACAGAGTAGTAAATTATTAAAATTAGGGGTATGACCAGCAGCTCAGAGTTCAGCTGGAGTCTAGTCGCTAGTGGTGTACTCTAAGAGTCAGTGCTAGTTTCAATACTGTTCAACACCTTCATTAATGAGCTGGGTGATGGGGCAGAACGTGCCCTCAGCAAGTTTCTAGATGACAGAAAACCGTGCGAGTGGCTGATACATCCGAGGGTCACGCTGCCATCCAGAGGGTCCTCAACAGGCCAGGGACATGGGCTGAAAGGAACGTCATGAAGTACAGCAAATGGAAATGCCAAGGAAGCAAATGGTTCCTGGGTGGTGGTGGCAACGGTTATCAAGGTGGCGTTTAGCGTGAGGGTTTAGTTTAAGGCTCTGGCTTTCAGACACTGATTGTATTCGTAACTTAATACATGTTGCCCTACTGAGTTTGCGTAGCGGTTTTGAAGATCTCCAGGGATTGTCCTTTAAATTCTAATGTACAGAAACTCAGGCACAAATGAGTACTCTGAAATTAAAACCGCCGGAGGTCTATGTGGAAGCCGTTTCTGGAGGCCTAAGTTTGCTAGTGCTATCTGGGGGTCCCCTTGTAGCAAAGCGTGTTGGCCAGCTGTTTGGTTTTCCTCCCCGCGCACAGGTATGGCTGATTTTCGAGAGGTGTTTGCCAAAGCAAAGCACATCGCCATTATCACAGGAGCCGGTGTCAGTGCCGAGAGCGGAGTCCCTACCTTTAGAGGGGCTGGAGGCTTCTGGAGAAAGTGGCAAGCCCAGGTACGTACTGGTGGCACAGGTCTGCACAGCTGGGCTTCTCTGTCCAGAGAAGCTTCTATGTCAGGACTTCTCTGTCCATCGAGCAGGTGAAAATGAAGAGTCAGCGGAAGCTGGATACCTCAGAGGGTGGGAGCGCTCCCATGGTGGTTGTTTAGCCTGGAGAAGGCTCCAGGGAGATGTTACAGCTGCCTTCCAGTACTTGAAGTTGCGGGGGGGACTCTTTATCCCAGAGTGTAACGATGGGACAAGGGGTAATGACTTCAAACACAAAGATTGTAGATTTAGATTAGATATTAGAAGAAATTATTTCTTCTGTGAGGGTGGTGAGACACTGAACATGTTGCCCTGAGATGTTGTGGCATCCCCCTCCCTGGGAGTGTTCAAGGCTGGGTTGGACAGGGCTTGGAGCAACCTGGTCTGGTGGGAGGTGTCCCTGCCCAGGGCAGGGGGTTGGAACGAGATGATCTTTAAGGTCCCTTCCAACCCAAACCCTTCTATTCTTCTGTTATCTCATCTTTGTGCTGTACTAAACTCGGGATAATTTGGTAGGGCAGAGAGGAAGGCCTCTTTACATGTTCCATGTAAAACCACGTACCACACTATTGATACTGGTTATTTCCTCATTTGAGAAAATATTTTGACTTGTCATCCTCGTAAGGGCTGTTGAACAGTATTTTTGTCTGCTGCACCTGGTTGTAAATCATCTGCTTCCAATTCTCTCATCGTGCTGCTGGCGGTGTAAATGGCAGTAATCTCGCAGGCTTCATCTGGGAAAGGGGTTTTCTTGCCCTTCCTTGGGTAGAATGAATTGTCATGTCTTTTCCAGGAGCTGGCTACTCCGGAGGCTTTTGCACGAAACCCTTCTCGTGTGTGGGAATTTTACCATTACCGCCGGGAAGTGATGCTGAGTAAACATCCAAATCCGGCGCATGTCGCCATCGCAGAGTGCGAAAAGCGACTGAGCAAGCAAGGCAGAAGCGTTGTGGTCATTACTCAGAATATCGACGAACTGCACAGAAAGGCGGGCACAAAGCACCTCTTAGAGATTCACGGTGAGGATCAGCTTGCCCGTCTGCTACAGGCCAGTGAACTTGGTGGGGGAGAAGAGAGGACAGTGGGGAGAAAATTGTCTTTATAATGGTAATAACTTGTGTGAAGTTATCCACGATATCGCCCTGTTCTGTTGTGGGAGTTGTTTCGGGTACTTCCTCGTCTCTCTTTCATTTCTCATCTTTCTTCTTTTTTAATGGATCCTGGCAGTACGTAGGAATCGTGTTCTCCCTTCCTGCTCTTCCTGCTCGCTCAGTTTGGCCTCAGATCCACTTGGACGTGTGTGGGTAGTGACGCACGTGGGCTGATTTCACTTAGAAAAGGGGAAGATAATCCATGAGGACTTCCACTGCCTGGCAGCAGTGGGGCCACCCCAGTGTTGCCACCAGTAAAAGGAGTATTGGCAACACTGGTCTCACCAGCCCTGGGGCGTTTTCCCTCCGTCCTGTCCTTCAAAGACCCTGCCCTCCTTGGCTACAGGAGGAAAAAGGGTCTGGAAAGGGAAGAGGTGGCACAAATTTATTTATTTTTTGGCAGTTGTGGATCCAAGGATATCCTTGGGTATAGTTTAATCTTGATTATCCTTATTCTTTAACAAAATAGGAACAGTTTTAAACTCTTGGTAATATTGCACATCTCCACAGCACATTATTAATGTTACAGGTGTCTTGAGGCTGGGAAGTTCTGCATAAAACAGAACACCGTTAACCAGCATTTGGGGTTTTTTTAAGAAAATGTTCCTGATTTAAGGGGAAAAACGATGAGCAGAAATCATCACCCTCGGTGATACTTTAAATATAATGATTTTCCTCTGAAATACTGTGTATTGCTCACGTCATGAGGTCAAACGAAGTGATAAATCACGGCTTAGAGGGACGGTCACTGTTGTTCACTGCGTCTGTCTTTGCTGGGCCCTGTCTGTGCCTAACTGCAACGCTGCTCACCTTGGGCTGCCGAACAAAAGCACGTGTGTGGGCTGCGTAACTACACCTTGTTCATAATGCTGCCAGGTTTCAGCACATGGCTGTTACAACCATGTAGGAAGTTACTTGCAAGGTGTAGCGTTCACCAGGACGAACACAAGCACTTGCTCGTACAGCCGTGCCTCAGAGCAATCGCTTGTCTGCTGATGTCTTTCTCTTTGTGTGTTTCAGGTAGTTTATTTAAAACTCGATGCACCAACTGTGGCAACATAGCTGCGAATTACAAGAGTCCAATATGCCCTGCATTGGCTGGGAAGGGGTAATACGCCTGCTTGTAAACTCTCTTTACTTTGCAGTTCAGTAGAAAAGGAGCCATTTCAGGGGAGAACAGGAGTTTCAGCCAACCACCCTGTTTTCCTTTAGTAGCACTAACGCTTAAATTTTAAGGCAGCTGTTTTGAAACGTTTGGTAACTTCAGTGAGAGCCCGTAAGTCCATAAGTGCCATAAGTCCTGTGAATAAATGTTAAACTCTAAGCACAACATCAGATATGTTTTAACTGGAACAATGTCAGACGGTCTGAAACTCATATTGGACATCAGCTCATTGTACTCTGTGTGTGTTTACTTCCATCCTCTTCACCTGCCAGGTTTTTTAATTAAATCGGATGCCCGTTCCTTAAGTTGGATTGTCACCACTTCGTACAGGGATTGTCCTCCTCTGCGACTCTTGACACCTAGTAGTACCTTTTGTCCTTCGACTCATCAGAACAGTTCTCATTATTACAGGTCTCAAAATACAGATGTGTGAAACAACCAGGATGGAAGCATCAGTTCTCAGGATTTCTGCAACTTAAAAAGAAGTTGCAGAACCTCTCAGTTTTTCTAGGCATCTTCTTTCTCTCACTAACAGTGGGAAAAAAAAAAGAGAGGGATGGGATAGGGATATGCTCATAGATTTTCAGGTGTTTTTTCCCTTTGCATTTCACCAGATCTGTAGATAGCTACACAAACATTTATCATGCCTTTGACAGACTTTGGCCAGCTTCTTTCAGCTGCTTAGCTCTGGAATAATTGTGGATGAATGCCTGGCTGCCTTGTGTGTGGTATTTTAGGCTTGTGGTAGGTGTAAGTTGGCTGAAGTTGCAAAGATTCCTCGATTGGAAAGTGTGCTTTAGAGAATACTAAGTATTAATACATAAAGTACACTTGGTCCGCCTGAATATGGATTTCAGTTTCGTAATTTCAGGGCTCCAGATCCTGACACAGAAGACGCCGCAATTCCAGTTGAAGACCTTCCTCAGTACGTGTGGACCAGTTTGGTTTTTCGCTGTTACCTCTTCGCGCTTTCTGCATTTCAAAGGCTTCTAGCACTGTTCACGTAGTTTCAGAAGGACTCGGAGACACCGTTTGGTGTGACCAGGCAGCATGGGTGTACTTCCAAGACGTGTAGCTGCCGCCTGTCCAGCACGTAGCAAAGGAGGGTGTGGGGAGGGCTGAGAAAGAGCGAGGGCAGATGAGAAATGCCCAAACGAGAATGAAAACCCCTTTGACGTATTGCAGCTTGAAACGTCTGCGTCCGCAGTGTGACACCGTCCCTTCATGATTTTTCTTAAACAGGTGTGAGGAGGATGGCTGCAATGGGCTCCTCCGTCCCCACGTCGTGTGGTTTGGTGAAACCCTGGATCCCAGCATTCTCACAGAGGTTGAGAAGGAGCTCGATATTTGTGACCTCTGCTTGGTGGTGAGTGATGCTTTGGTTACCCAGCATCTTAACCTCTGGGAAACCAGGCTAAAGAGGTTGCACCTCCTAGGTAAAGGAGATGCATTTGGAAATAAAAGCCCCTGAGGGGCTCTACTGTCAACTGTAAAACATTAAAAGACCAGGAATTTTGAAAAAGTACGCGCACTACTCAGAAGTTAACAGGTTGAGCATGCGTGCCTCTTGCTCTGCTGGCACCTGCATTTGGCGTACACAGGTCTTAGAGGTTCAAGCGTCAGATGTTAGCTAATATTGTTTAGTTGTTCAGGTTCTCCAGAGGTGAAAAATACGTTTTTTTCAATGCTCAGTTTAAAAAAAGTGACAAAATGCTGTAGGAAGGTAGCTAGTTGTTAGCATGTACTGCTTTTTTTTGTGAGGTTGTTTACGTGTGTGCAGGTTCCAGATCCCTGACCGAAGCACTCGCTCAGAATATCCTGTACCCTTCACAGAATAATCTCAAGGAACAGAAGGAACATCTTGGTTTGTTTTCCTCAAGGCTGTTTGCCATTTTGTGTTTCTGACATGTTACTTTTCACTCATCTAGTCGGAATCCAGAAACAGGGTTATCTGGCTTGCACCAGAGAACCAATTCCCGATTCTTACACTATGTTAAATAGCTGCCTATGGTGACACTGATGTGGTTTCAGTTCTGTAGGGATCTTCCATGCTTTTGCACATCCAGTGTTCTGAGTAGGGTCTTTACCTTACAGGTTGGTTTGGTTTTGTCTGTTTTAACTACTGGCCTGCTACATTCATGATTCTTCCGTCCCTGCAGGTTGGGACCTCCTCCGTGGTGTATCCGGCGGCGATGTTTGCCCCTCAGGTATCTGCCAGAGGAGTGCCAGTCGCGGAGTTTAACATGGAAGCTACTCCTGCTACCAGCAGGTTCAGGTAAAGCCGTTCAGTCCTCAACCTTTAGCCCCTTCCACCTCTTGTCTTTTGCACTGAGCTGCTAAAACGCTTAGAAAGTCTTTAAACAAACATGACCCAGCTTCTTCTTCCCCCAAAGCTTAGTAAGTCGTACTTCTAGTAAGTAAGAAGAGGTGATTTGGGCCTTTTTGGGTGGAGCGAACTCAAGCTCCGGTCTGTCCCTGGGTGCTGCGCGGCCCGAACCCCTCAGAGGCAGGAGCTGGGGCGGGCACCGCTCTAAAAACACAAAACCAAACCCCACGAAGCAGCGCGGGGC